ACCTTGGCGTAAAAAGTGGCGTACGCAAGTTTCTGGGCTCAAATTGTGCGTACGCCAGTTTTACAAATCCGACCCCTGAGCTTTCAAACAAGACAGCCACTCTGGGATCCGACGCTCAGAGCCGGCGCTAGAGGCTCCGCAGCAAGGTTGCGCTTCACGGGCACCTGGGAACCAGCTGGCAGGCGACCAGTCACCCGCGAGCGACTGGTTGGGCACCCCTGCACTAGTCTGTTTCAGATTATATACATACTGTATATCAAGGCTGCACAAACTTTTCTAAAATGAAAATCTATCTGAGGGTTGCAGCCAAATGCAATAATATAATTCATGAAATACAAATACTTCTTAAGTACAGTCCTTTTATTTTAATGATTATGTCCTGCTGGAGTGTAACATGATTTGTTTGTGTACAAACTAATATGGTATCAGAGTTTTATATATTTATACTTCTCATTCAACCACGGTTAAAGTCACTCAATCTAGGAGGCACAGTTTATATGGATAATATTTATTTTTTACAATAACAAGCTGCAATGAAAACAAGCAAAAATGAAATAAAAGTAACGACTTTTTACTTGTCTTTCTAAAAATGTATGAAGTTGAAGTAAAAAGTAGGCTGAAAAATAATTACTCAAGTAAAAAAAATTCTACTTAAATACATTAAAGAAGTATTTGTACTTAGCTACTTTACTACTCTGGAAAAAAGAGACTGAAAATGATTTCTTATGTATATATATTTTATGTCATCTGTAAAAATATTATTTTATGACTTTCACAGAACAAACACAACAAAACACTGTTCAGGAACACAAAAAATACAAATGTTTTAGGTTGATAAGACAACAAGATGAGGAAAGAAACCAGCAAAACACTTCAACATTTCAGAAAATATATTTTTGTGCCACTTTAAAAAAACAAAACAACACAAAATTTCTGTCTACTRTTTGCTTAACATCTTTGCTAAACATGTTAGCGTTATCTATTACAGTCAATACTGTCTGTTAGTGAAATATCTCTTGAGCAGATTTCAGTGAAACTTTCAGAAAGTAATTCTTAGATGTCTAAAACTTAACCTTTAGAGTCGACAATGTGGCGAACTTGAAGAACACAAAAATAGTTAACTGTTTGTGGTAGTCGAGGGCTAACGAGTCTCGAGAGATATCGCAAAAATTTGTGATGTCGTGCCAAACGTAATTTACAAGGTTTGACTAAAACAGGGGGAACTCTTGTTTCTCAACAAATGATGGTTTTACTTTAAAACTGTGGCCTGAGAGGCAGCGGGTGATATGCATTTTTCCACTTTAAAAAAAGTATTTTTCATGTCTAGATGAGTCTAGAAAACACTTTTTCTCCCAAACTGTTTTTCATTCTTTCATGTTTGAAAATTTAAACTGTGACATTTAAAAAAAAGAAATTTCTCTTAAACACAGAGAAATATTTCAATTCTTTCTCTTAACTTTTGCACGCCACAGTTTTAAACAGATATCCTGCAATCTGTTATGGTTCAGGTTTTTGTTGAGGATGACTCTCAGCTACTACCACAGCAAAATAATAGACACAAATATTTACATTACCACCCTGCACTACAGCAGGCAGGCAAGTGGAACATATAAATACAGAGCATTATATTACATTAACCTAATGAAATGTTAGTGTCAGATCAGCAGATATCGCTTTTTATTTCCTCCAAAATAMAAAATAGTTAAAAAACATCATATTTAACTAAACAAGATGTAAAATGTGTCATTTTAATGCTCAAGTACAGATATCATCGTTTTATTGAACAGGAATTGTAACTAACTGTCACCATGTCCAAATCCACGTAACCCTCCATTTCCAGCCTCTCGCACTAAACCAAGATCTACAAAAAGTCAAAGAGCCCCACTACCACCTCTGACCCTTTCAACAACGCCAACATCTTTCGTGGTATGAAGGCAGAAACACGTTGGAATAATGCCAGAAAAGTCTGCGTGTATGGTCGTAAATAAATGATTTAATTCTGAGCAACAAACAAACAGGACCCAATCAAGGAAGTACCGTTGGCTTGCTGCTGACACGTCAGCGGACACAGCCAATAATAT